GCGGTTTTCGCGACCCTGTATCAGTTTTTCCTGAAACTTTGGATGCCGTAAACAAAATTGTGCCACCTTGTTTCGTTCCCGAGATACAGGGTGAAATATAAATGTTGCGCTTTTTGGGATGATATCATATTTCGAACACCCTGTAAGATAAAAAAAAAAAGCTAAAAACACCTATCCAGTATTGTAGTTATTTTCTTTTTAGGCAAACCGTTTTCGAAATTTAAACCAAATTTGCTATTTTTTTAAGGGGATATGTATTATTTGGTCCCAAAAAATCATTTTTTGATCTGAATTTTATAAACATAATAATCTTGATAAACCTAAACAGGATGATGGTTTCAGTTTTGTAGAGATATTTGTCACATAGAATATAATATTTTCTGGAATATTTTATTTTTTGTTTTGCTAGACCATGCAAGAGACAGAGGTCTTCAGTTGGTAACATAGCAAAAAATTGAAAATCAAGATATACTTTGTTGGTTCTTTTCTAATGAAAAACTTCGTCTATTAAGTGACAGAGTGTTACGACCTCGGTTACGAGTTAGAAGTGCGCAAACGAGAAGAACACATACCAAACCAACAAATCAAAAAAGACAAAAGATCTGATCAATCTGCAAAATCTAAGGCGAAATTTTTAAGAAAAAATCAGGGAAAATTATTGTGATGACTATAATAGTCCATCCTGGAGTCCATCAATAAATATTGATATGGTTGTGAATAATTATTAACTCTTTTTATAAATGCCTAGCTTTCGGAGCTTTTTGCTACTTCTTTAGGGCTATAATATTAAAAAGAATATAAAATAAATAAAAAATAAATATGAAATAAATAAAAAATTAAATAAAAATTGTTATAATTTTTTTTTACAATACCTTGTAGAAGGAGCAAAAAGCTCCGAAAGCTAGGCATTTGTAAAGAGAGTTAATAAACCAATTGACTCACCGATTCCCAATTATTCACAAACATATTAATTATCAGCGGTCGTTATCCATAAAAATAAATTAAATATTGAATTAGAAAGTTACTATTACAATGAGACTTGGCACATAGGACGAATAGTTGAAAAGGTGGAAGAAGAAAACTTTGAAATAAAATTTGTCACGCGAGATTAAGATAACTTTATTTGGCCAAAATCTGAAGATTGTATCGAATTCTTTTTTATTCTATGGGCCTCTATTCATGGAAAAATTTGGCCCTTTTTACATCCAAACGCATGATTACATAAACATACAAAAAACGCAAGGTTTTTTGAGAGAGACAGGTTACCTGATAACTTTATGACGTCATCTGGGGTGCCTGAACATAATGCAAATCTCCATAGGGCACCCCGGATGCGTCATCACGTCACCCATTACCAGACAACCTATTAACTTTAGGAACCTTGCAAAAAAAAGTATAAAAAACTTAAGCAGTTATATGGCAAACAACCTTGAAGTTACTTAAACGATTTTGAATATATTATGTAATGTGTTTAAGTAAAATTCGTCCTTGATTTTCATATATTAAATTTCTAAATTACCTGAAGATTTTAAAATAAAATAGATATAACCTAGGATAGCAAAAAGATAGCGGATGCACCGTGTATTTAAAGACCTATTCAACAATTCAGGGACATCTCTTCATAAGAATATAATAGAGGAAACTATTCCTATTTTTATTCGAAAAACATTCGACTGCAGTTTAATGATTAACATTTTAATTCTGATCTTAATTTTCCATTACTTAAAGCCTACAGTTGACATATTATGTTTAGTTTACTATAACAATATGTTGAACTAAAAGAAATACCTATAGGACATGATGGAAAATATTTTTATTTATTGGAAATACTTGGAAATACCTAAGAGAATACTTAACAAAACTTGGAAATATAATTTAGTTTTTGGAAATGCTTTGGGAATATCTAGGAATATTAGGAAATACTTGGAAGTAGCGCGCAATACATGGAAATACCAGAGAATACTTGGAAATACTGTCGAAATTTGGGAAGTATTCCCAGAAACTGGAAATCACTGTACGTTTTTTCATGAGTGGTTGACTCCTCGTTGGAAGTTAAATGAGGAGTTTTTTTGCATCTCTATTTGTTTTTTCGTATAGTCTGTCATCATTTCAGGTTATTATTATTATTCGACATTACAAGAGATTTTAATTTGAATGGAAATAAAACCTAGGTCTTCTAAACTATTGTATAATAAATAAATGCGTTGAACATGAGACAAACATCCCAAGATACTGTGTTTCAAATCTCCTACATCTCCACATTCACTGTCCTGTAATCCGATTTTTTTTTATAAGTAGGAATTAATGCATGACTACAACGAATGCGAGACATTGTTCTTATAAAACTTCGGTTCGCTATACTGGCAAACCAAGTTTTTTTATGTATTTCTGGAAACATATTTCTAAATGCAAGTCCCTTATCAATAAGGTGAAAGTTCTCCTGCCAGCATTGGTATAGCTGAGACTTTGACAAATTAAAATAATCTGAATGTGGTATTTTATAATTTTCAGCAAAACTTGGAAGATTTGTCGCATCCTTAGCTAGTTTGTCTACAATTTCATTATTCTTTATACCAATATGAGCCTTGATCCAAACAAGATGAACACATTTATCAAATCGTTTGAGTATTGTACAGGTATTGATTATTTCTTCAATTATCAATAGCCTGTAAGGCGCTTTTGCTTTCAGTAAATATGGCAAATTGTGTATTACCTTTATATTCGATACAATGTATCAGCGCTTCCCATATAGCCCATAATTCTGCTTAGAAAATTGATGAACCTTTCAACAGCCTAAATTGTTTATATGTATCCTCATTTATGTGGATGAAAGCACACCCTGTTCTACAATTGATAACCGATCCATCGGTATATGCTCTGAGTTCTTATAAATAGTATTTTGATCTTTTACACAAAGTATTTTATAATCAATGGTTCACTGTTATAATGATTTATTATTATTTTGGGTATATCATGAAGAAAATTTCTGGACAGCTGGAAGTATCGTACTATTTCCGAAGAATAGATATTTTCTTTATTATGGGCTATCCAAGAATAGCTATTTACAAGTAGAGGAGATTTTTTTATATTTCCAAAAAGAATGTGTAAAATTTAAAACTGCAAGACGGTGTGATCGCTAGTTTTTGAAATGAGTTTTAATAGAAGTTTATTGGCTAAATTATTTTGTCGTAGTGTGCGGTTCTCCAATTCTGTTTCCATCACTGCAATGGGGGTGCTTCTAAAATATCCTACACAATAACTAAGACAATTGTTTTTGACTACTTCAATTTTATTAAGCTGAGTATTAGCGGCTGAACTATAAAGTTCGCATGCGTAGTCCAACATAGACCTAACATACGCCTTGTAAAACAATGATGATATGTTTGGATCAGCTTCTTGTGGTTGAAAACCCCCTAAAATGTTCATTCCATTTTCAGCTCGCTTAATGAGATAGTTATTGTGGTCTTTCTATAACAGCTTCTTAACAAGTAGGTAAAACCCCAAGATATTTGACGGTATTTTTACATGAAATCTGGAGTCCTGACATTTCTATTTCATTAGGTAGGTTTGTTCTTTTCCTTGCAAATATACATATCGATGTTTTTTCTGCAGAAATGCTTAACACATTATTGTTAAATCAATGCAGGGTTTTTGAAAACTTGTGTTCTATTTTACTTCTGCATGATTCTATTGTCTTGTCCTTTGAAAAAATACAGACATCATCTGCAAATTGATGAATTTTAACTTTATTTTCAGACAATTTTTCCAGGTCGTTAGTATAAATTATGTACAGAATCGGGCTGAGAATTCCTTCTTGCGGTAACCCAACTTGAGCCATTCGTGCCTCTGTAAGTCCATCGGTTGTTCTTATATATACGAATCGATTGCTATGTATTGAAAAAATATTATGAACAATTCTTTCGAGAATCCCAATTTGTTGCCATTTCCTAACGAGAATGTCATGCTTCACATTATCATAAGCTCCCTGTATGTCTAAGAACAATACTGAAGTGTTTTAGTTTTCAGTAAGTCCTAATTGAATTTCTGTGACCAGTATTTTTCAGCAATCTTTTATATGTTTTTAATATGCGAGAAGCAAGAGCAATTGGTCGATATGATTTGGATTGGTATTTAGGTTTACCAGGTTTCATTAATGGTATTAAGATATATTCCTTCCAGTCTAAAGGAATTGGGTGGTCTCCTTTGAATATTTTATTAAATATATCGCCAAGAATTTTTTCTGCCAATGTGGGAAGATTCAAGATTCGATATCATAGAGTATTGTATATTTTCCGTTCCTGGGGCAGTGTTATTATTGACGTTCACAGCTTTATTCAGTACCTCCATTTTGAAAGGGTAACATCAAAATATTAGGCTGGGTAAATAAGTTCAAAAACTAGGTACTTTCAACTATCAGGGAAAAATTAGTTTTGTAAACATATTTATTTTCATATAGATTTTTTTAAAAAATATTAAAAAAAAAAAAAAAAAATTGTTACCCTATAGGCAAAGTCTGATTTTGTTAAAAGTTTTAAGTACAGATTTTTCATAAAAATATAACTTAAGAATTATTCTCTTTAGCTATTTAGAAAAAAAAAATGTTTACAAAATAAAAAAAAATTGATAAAAGTTTTACAAACCACATTTTTCGATTTTAAAAAAAAGTCAACCTATTTTACTGTAAATTTTGTCTATAATTTTTTGATATTTTTTACAATTCGCCTAAATAATTTCTGATGAAGTTTAAATAATTTCATTACCTATGTTTAAAATCTAGTGTTAACGACAATAGTATCCAAACTTGTGTAATTCATGCCCAATTGAATTAATCATTATCAAAAGATTATTTTCATCATAGGTCGATTCCACATTTTTAGGTAGGTAGGTAGGTATATTACAGTGTTGGAATGAGTATGCCTAAATAATAAGGAGACTCCAATCCTACCACTTCACTTATCACAAAATCACAATAGTTGATATAAATATAGGTAGGTACTCACATTAATTGAATCCTTTGCGAAAGGCATGTAATATCCATAGATGAGATCTCACTAAAATCACCGCACAAATCATCGTCCACTCATCATCATCCCCGTATCGCAAAATTTAATCCCTGCTTTTTGAATGAAAACAACCCACCAACGCGAGAAGAGAGTTCGCTGTTTGAACAGATGACGATCAAGCGATGCTGAAAGCTTGTTTCAGGCTGAAACGCTAAAAAGCTCTTCTGTCTGTTAAGCTCGGCGCGCAAGGCGATACTCACTCGAGTCGGCGTTGCGACGTCGACGAATATACTGAAATACTACTGTGACTTGGCTCGTAACTGCGGCTAGGGCTTCGCGTTCTCCTGCTAAAGTTGTCGCTGGACAGGTAAGTAAAGTGTCGTTGAGATTTACAGGCTTGTACCTGACTATTGTCTGCAGGATATGGCGTATGGGAGATGGTTAGCACCAGCCCATCGTTTGAAGGTATCGGTCTAGCATAGCTATTAGCTTATTAGATGGCAGATTGTTAACTGTGAATTGTTTTGACAATCAAAAGCTCTAAGACTCGATGATATCGCAGTTGAGTTACTCTTAAGTTCATTATCAACTACGCAAAAATCTTGAACCCTCGAGTTTAATTTCACCATCTCAACATCATAGGCCAACGGAAATCGACTTTCGGCAAAAATTACAAAGGTTCGAATATTGCAACTTTTTGAATTATATTTTCGTTTTTATGTGTTCAATGCCTTTAAGATTGAGAAAGTATTGTGTTTCGATTTAAGTATGATTTCGAGGCTTACGAGAAGCAGTTAAAAACCTAATAAATCACTCCAGAACCTCGAATCTTGACCACTCTAGAACTTTACTTGAAAATTATAATCATACACTTGCTAGTTACGGTGAATATTTGGAAATATGTAATAATATAGATAATTTTCGTAAGTTCAATATGGAATACCGGCATATGTATCATAACGCACTATAAAGTAGTCTCATTTTAACAAATAATTATATCAGAGCTGCTCTCGGGTGCCGCCCTTTGAGCGCTCCCGAGTGACTCCGAAGTGCTCCGGCTACAATTTGACCCGTTCGGTTTCAAGCGTTCAAGTGCAAAATGCATGGAGTATGACAGGTCACTGACAGGTGTGAAGTGTTTTAGCAGCACCCGAAAGCGGCTATGATCTCACGTATAATATATTAGAAATTCTATATTGATCCTTTTATATTTGGAATATATTTTTCTTGTTCTAGACAATTGAAAATATTCCCTGTCTTTATCTTGCTCTTGATTCGCGCTGTTCTAGTATAAACCTACCCTAAAAAAAAAACTGTGTTTCAATCCAAAAAACTAAATTGTAGGTATGCGACAGGGGTCACCGGACACCTATCTATCAAGTGTTGCAGATTTTATTGGAATTTATACCATCACAGTATATAAAATAGTGAAGAGGACATCTGAAGCATTATTGGCTTCAACCTGTACAGTGAACAAATATCAACATCAACTAAATATAGAAAGAAAAATTATAATAATGTTTTGTGTTGTGTTTATGCCGGGCCCGGAATCTGGACGAAATTAAAATAAATGAGGTTTGGGATTATTTTCGACGTTCTTTTGACAGAAATGCAACGTTGCCAGACCGTACTTTGTTCTTTATTTAGAGTTGATCCTAAGGGCCGCTGAGCAACGCAACAAGTCTTAAGGACTACCTAATTTTATATGTGTACCTTAACTATTCCTTACTAGGCAATTGCTGGGAAAACGGCCATTGATTGATTAGGATATTTCATACGCAAAGTGAATACGGGGCTTTCTATCGTGATTTGTAATTGACTTGAGTACCTGATTGGCCGAAGGGTACTACAAAGAAAGAGAAAGCTGTCAAACACTGAATATAATTATCAACTATAATATCCCAAGGACACTGTTTGCTAACAGCTCGATGGCGAAGGCAAAAGCTGTTACCAACTAACGTGCTTAAGAAATTTGACAATTTTATGAGGAAAAATCGATTTTTGGATGATACAAACACTGATGTCATAGTGATTGAAAAATACCTTAGGGGACTTAGGGAAGTTATCAGTGTAATGTTGACGTGATTGGGTGCCACATGACCAAAAAATAACAAATTTAATTGGCTGTGTCAATCTCAATCACTAAGTCTCTTTCGTGAAAGCCATCCTTCAGACAAGTCCATTTTCTCAATGGATTCTAATTTATTTTTTAAAGACTTTATCATAGTATCATAGAATCTCCTATACAAACACATAATATCTTTTAATACGTACTCTATATGCAACTTTAGTACATAAGCTATTGAATTTAATTTTTATCTGGTTTATCTACGTCTGAGTAATTGATTTTTTTCGAAGACAATTACCTTTTTGCCTTCTTATGTCTATCGTCAATTGTGTGGATAAGCCACATGTCTGCCTATCTAATCTCGTAGGGGGCTTTTACCTTTTTGAGCCGTAAAGAAGGCTTCTGCTGCTTTGCTTTTGCTTTTGATTAGATCGATTGACCATTTACTCTGAAGAAAGTCAACATATAGTGTATTTTTGAGTCTCTTCCAAAAAAACTGCTCTTTTGAATTCAAGTAGATATCTTTTGTCTGCCATTACCTGTATAGGTACTTTTGCTCTCATTTGTCAGCCGTTAAAAATAATCATGGGTTTGAATGTGCTCTAACCATATCCTTCTTATAGACCTTGGCCCATGCAAAAATTTGATGACGTATCAAATTAATTAAAAGTATTCGATCGAGGAGCATACCAACAGCTGAGTCAATAGCTCATAAAAACTGTTTTCTTGACAATTATAGAATTTTGACTTCGTAATTGAGTGCAACACAGACAGACGAACCAGACGTAAACGTACCAGAGCTATATTCCATGCTTAGGACTACTGGACCATGGAATATTTCTATCTACTATCTTCAAGTAAGTACCTACCTACCTACCACCAAAACGACGGTAACAGAGAAAACAACCATAATGTAGCTTAGATATTTGGCGACTTGAAGATGGAGACACCAAAACAAACTCACAGCTCCCAATAAATGAAAAATTGTCTGAGAAATATTCCGACATTGATCAATACTTAAAACAGCTTGGCTATCGCTTGCTTTATCACAAGGAAACATTAGGATTGGTTTAATTGAAAAGAACATTAAAGAATTTCAGAACATTATTGATCGGAACAGAAAAGTCTACAAAACCTGGGAAAACAATACAACTTCCGCTCACAAGAAAAACATAAGAGGTTGAACAAGAATATAGGAAAACGGATGATGGACAATGAACTCTTTGCTTTTGCCAAAGCAACCCTGCCCAAAATCTATGGCTTTAGACCAAAACGAGGTACGGGTTAATGCAGAATTTCAACGAGTCGAAGTTGAAATTCTAGAGTGAGCCAACATAGCATTTGGGCGTCTCTTAAACAGGGTATTTTACAGCTGTGTGCAACACTAACTTCTCTATGGATGTGGAACACGGACCCCCTCTACAGACGACAGCTAAGTTGCTTGGAAAAGTGCCATCTGCACTGCTGCAAGAAGATTTGCCTGAAATAAACTGGCTGGCCCTGGATAGACTCGCATGGCGACAAAATATTCATCAAAGGTCGCATCATTTCTAACGATAAATGCCAAGGAAAGAGTAGGACAAAGCGTAGGAAAGAACGGAAACATTGCATATCAGCTGATCCACAAAAATGCCCTGTTACCGCTGATTGAGTGTGCAATCAATATGGGAGAAATTGAAAGTCCAAAATAGGCTTATTTTGCCAACAAAAAATCCACAGATATTGATTCATTCAAAAGTCTCATAATGGTCATTATATCGAGTGAATGCTTATGATTATTATTCTTATGTTGCTGCCATTTCTAGATTTTGCTGTTTGTTGCTCTGCTTGTTACATGGGGCATCTAGTATTTATCGTATCGTTTTCTCCCGTGAAATTTATTTATAACGATTCTACCAGACAAAAGTGCCATAATAGAACATTGAGATAGAAAAACCATACAAACATACAGCGCTAAAGCTACCGAGTTGAAACTTGTAGCCGAGGATCAAAACAAGATAATTTCAGCATTATTATACAGGGTGTTCGGCACATGAGTAGACATACGCAAATCTGTGATAGGTGGGGCCGTCTGCTATGCGGTCCACCCAGATATTTTGACCTGGGCCCTAAGATTTTTTTTTTAGAATTTTTTTTCCAAAATTTTCAATTTGCAGATTTTACACTATAGTTATTTGCCTAACAAGTGCGCAAAGTGTTACTTTTCCGCACGCAAACACAGTTATACGTACGACTTGAAGCGAACCTATTTATTCATCAAAAAATTACATAACAGAAAAACAGAAAATTGAAATCCTCGTCAGAGCTGTTCATTTTGAAGTGTTTAAATTTGATGCGAAAGAAGTTTTAAGATTCTTGCATGTAAATGGAGAACACAAATCTGACAATGTGTCAAAGTTAATTATATTCAGTGTTTGTATAGATGTTGGCTGATATAAGATCTGTTTCTGCAGAAATCACAAACCAGTCAGAGTGAATTTCATTGGTTGAAACTAGTTTTCTTACTGTTTTCAACCAATGAAATTCGCTCTGACTGGTTTGTGATTTCTGCAGAAACAAACCTAGAAACAGAGAAAAATTTGTCATCATGTGTCAATGTCGACAGGTGCACTTATTGTTGCTTGACAATTATTTTTACTTTTCGGCACTCATTGCGGATAAGGCCCGTATCCGCACTGAGTGCGGAAAAGTGCAACTTTGAGAACGGTAATGCGTGCGGAAAAGTACTACTTTGCGCACGCTCGGAGGAAAAAATAATTTTTTGAAAAATTATGGAACTGACATTTTTTTTTTTTTTTTTTTTTCATCTAGAGACTAATTCTAGAATCATACAAATTTAATAATTGGGGCCCATGGCAGCTACAAAGAAAACATCTTCAATTCATGCCTTTTCGAAGGATATGCAATAACCACAATTTGCTTAAAAACAGCAAGAGTTATTTGTCAACTTTATCAATGATGGGCATTTTTTGCGAAATTTGAGCTAAGTGCATTTTTAGCGTTAAAAACTTACAGGAGCTACTAAATAAAACAGTATGATATTGATTTTATAATGTATTCATAAAAATTATTCTAATTGCCGCCCTCCATTATTAATAAAAAATTTTGGACAAAATTTTTTTAAAAAAATCTAAAAAAAAATTGTTAGGGCCCAGGTCAAAAAATCTGGGTGGACCGCATAGCAGCCGGCCCCACCTATCTCA